CTTTCTGGCTTGGATAAGTTGAACTGGAACAAGGATGCAGGAAAAAAAAGAAGTTTCAAGCCTCCCTGAACAGGATATTTTCTGTAACACTTTGCAGGTGCACAGAAGCAAGCATGGCAGCTGCTCTTCATCTGCTCCATGGCAGATGGGGAAGACACCTGTACAAATAAGGGGACAGAGCAAAGTACTATTGCAGTGAACCAAGTGCTCTCTCATGACTGTAGAATTGACTGTTTATGTCAGTGCAATCAGGATACCCCTTAGAGCAGCATTGTAGCTTTGACTGAAGTAAGGTCCCAGAATAAATATGGAATGATTTCCTAAGAACTTTTATTCCACCTGCAACGGGACAAAGGAATGTTTTCTTGTTTCAGCATCTACAGTACACAGTGTCATATATTAGGCTGAAGGAGCAGCTGTAAAAGTTTGGCTTCTGCTTGAGATGTGCTTTTATCTGGAATGGTCTTTAATACCTTACACGAAGTTAGTGGTTATTTAGCTGAAGTGGTCTCTTTGAAACCATATTGCTGACCTTGCTGTTCAAAAGCAGCTGTGAAGGCCAGAGGGCCCTTCACTTGGGAACCGTGATTGTGTTTGCATGCATACCTTTTTAATAGGTGTAGCAATTAAAAAGATATCATTTCAGGGCAGTAAAAGAGTAAGATTTTGCTTTTACTAGGTGAACCTGAAGATAGGCGTTTAGGGGCAGGACTTACAACTGAGCTACTGGATCATCCTTCTGTGAGGAGCATATTGCAGATTGAATGGTGTCTCTGATCTAGTGCAACCACTGTATTCCTCCCACTGGTCATCAGCTGGAATTTTAACTGAATTCTGCAGCAAGCAAACCTGCATCTGTCTCTTGCTTACATACATGTGTGCATATGCACAGTCATTTGCTCATGCTTTCTCTCTCTCTTAATATGATAGTAACTTTAAAAAGTGAACAGGTTTATTGGAAGAATTATTTTCAGTCCTGCTACAGTGTGTTTTAAGCAAGTAGGAGTTTAGAGATAAGACCATGTCTTTTGACTCCTTGACAAATTCTATGCTGTTAGTGTTCAGTTCAATTCTTTTTGTAATGGTTTTCTGTATTAATTTTGTTTTAATTCATTTTTGTCAGCTTTAAATCTAAGTTTCATGTCTTCACAGGCTTATTTTCGGACAGTAGAACTCGTTCAGGAGCCTATTCCTGGCTCACCAGGTCTGAGTTTCTACTTCAGAATCAATGGCCGACCCATTTTTCTGAAGGGCTCGAACTGGATTCCTGCAGATTCTTTCCAGGACAGGGTGACCTATGACACGTAAGCCACATTTGATGTTCTCTAAGGATAAAGGATCATGTTTTCCTCCTCCTGATTCTCTATACACCTTTATGAAAGGTTGGCTTTAGTGGGTGGAACTGCTTTGAAGGTAGTACACTAATTATTGGGGGCTGGAGGCTTCAGAATTAGGGCTTTATTAACATGAATAGATTGGAGTGTCAAGGCATGTAAGTGAGATTACTGATGGGAAGGTGATTTTTTTGTAGTTCATAGGTTACTGGCCTTTTGGGTATTTTTATGGAGACTATACTGTACTTTGACTAAGCTTTGCTCTGGGTAGTTGGAGAATCAGGACAACAGAGCATGCTGCAATGTGCATTCATATGCAATTTAGAGGCTGCCAGTATGATTTAAGGACAAATGTCTGGAGCCTGAAACCCTTAAAATGAGATTCAGGGTCTCGGTCTTTCTCCTCACCCTCTCATTCCACTGTTCTCACTATGCATTGTGGAACTCACAAAGAGAATATACTTTTCTGATTGTGTTTAAAAGAGAATATGAATTCAAGTGATTGACATACAAAGCAAGTAATATCTAAGAAGAAAATGAACAATATGATTAATAAAATAGAGTATTTCTAAATCTAGTCATGCCAAAACTTCTGTAAAAGCACTTACTCACCTGTGTCACTCCATCTATTCTGTAAGTATTAACAGGAACAAGCAACTTTTTCTGCACAAAAAATTACTTTTTGAGAGCTCTGTCAAGGCATGCAGGCTTAGAAACCAGAGTATTTTGATAATTTCTGTCAAAGTTATAAGTCTTAGTTTGCCTGCTAATGATTTAGGTTTTGTGATTTTGTTTGGCCTTTTTGTTTGTTTTTTTTTGTAGGGGTATTTGTTTCTTTGTTTGTTTGTATAACCTTAGAAACTCCTAAGTGATACAGTTTCACAAAACTTGTATTTTACAGATTAAGGCTACTCTTGAAGTCTGCAGCAGATGCTAACATGAATGCACTTCGGGTTTGGGGAGGAGGAGTATATGAACAAGATGAATTTTACGATATTTGTGATGAAATAGGAATAATGGTAAAAGCAATAAATGCAGAACACTTATTTAAAAACTGACAAGAACCTGTAAATGAAAATTCATTTTAAATGAACAAAAATAAGAGAATTAATACATGCATTCTAACCATCTTTCCAAAGGATATTGTAAAGTATCAACCCGAGAAGTTAGATCAACCTGTTTTTTTGTTTGGTTGGCTGGTTGGGTTTTTTAATTTCTTTTTAATTTGAATGGTTTCTGATTAAAAAGGCTGTCTGTTGAATCTAGAAGTGATATTTTGGAGACTTTACAGAAGTCTGTAGAAGTTAGCCATGCTTTTCTCAGTTGTGGAAATGGATTTTATTTCTTTTAAAACTATTTTTTCCTTTATAGCAATTGCTGAAAAGGTGTGGGGTTTTTTGGTTCAAACTTTTCATTTGTCCCAAAGTCAAACATGGAAGGCTTCATCCAGACGGCCATTTTGAACAAGCTACATTTGACTATAAATGTAGCAGTAAGGGGAACACCTATTGCAATCACTAGACGAGTACCTTCAATTATATGAGCTTGGAGACACGTATTAATAAGTTTTGATGAAATAGCAACTAGATGAATGAAGACCAAATTGCATCTGTTATTAAAAATCCTGGCAAATGTGTTTGGTGTTGCTCTGCAGCATAAAAAGCAGGGAAACAGAACTCATACTTTGCTGCCTTCCATACGTGCTTGGGGAAAAAAAAAGTTACATCTATTTTAGTCATCTGAATGAGTGTCCTGATTTTCAAGGCTTCTGAAGACTTACAGTTCTTTCATTTTTTACACTAGGCACCTTAAGTAGGCCACTTAGATCTGTGCTTATACAGTGCTCAATACAAGATTTAGATCCTATTTAACAGCCAAAATAGCAAGTAGATGCAGAAAATCAGATCCTTATTCTGGAGGGGGTGGTGATGGAGGTTTTTGGTTTTGTTTCTTCTGATGGTCTTGCAAAGGCTTTAAAGTGCCTTGGTGTCAAACTGTGCTTAAGGAAAGCCAGTGATAGCTCACTGAGGGAAATAGTGAGAGAAAGTTTCTTTCAACAGAGAGTTTTGACTCCACACAATCAGTCACTAAAGGATTATGAGTACTCTTTGGCAATAGCTTTGCTTTTGTGTACAGTGTTAGGATTTTAACAGTTACTAATAGATCCATTACCCCCCACTGTCTTGTGCCCTATCTTCAGGTTTTTTAGGGAATGTATGCTGAAAAGAGCCATGGAAAAGCACGTTCTCACTGCAATCAAAATGCAATTACATGAGGAACTGGTCTGTCTCTCTCTGTTATAGTATGGTGTTCAGAAAAGTGTAGTCTCCTACAGACTCCTTTGGGTTAATGTGCTCCTCGTAGAGGCCTTTCCATTAACATTTGAGATAGACTAGCAGGAGTCTCAAAGTTACAGCAGTTTAATAAACAGAACAGGTAAACAAAAAATCTTAACCATCTCACTGGGCTTCTTTCCTTCCCCCTTTTTTTTGTAATTCTTCTCCTTCAAGGTACAAATGGAGTTTATTGTTGTTGAATTGAAAGGCTTGTTGTTCTCAATGATATCTACTTGATTGTTCTTTGAAGAGAAAAATCACTGTGTTTTTAGAGGATCTAGTTTGTTTCTGCCCCTCTTACTGTGTAAGATTTGCTATTTTTTGGGTTCATTTTGTGTGGAAGTGTTTTCTTAATGAGTACACTGACATCGATTAAGTGTGCTCGATACCACGCTGGAAGAATTACTGTCTCTTCTCATTAAGTAATGGGGATTTGGTGTTACACCTGAAAAGTAGTAATACAGAATTGTTCTGTTCAGCTGCAAGTTGCCCCATGTTCATGTTTCTAATTATTCTTTTGAAACTTACTGAACTCCTCCTGCTGAGCAGTATTGCACTCCTCAGTGTAGGCTGTCAGGATCTGATTCCTCTGATATTGAGGACAACCACAGTGGAGTGTGCACATACTGAACCTCAAGGAGGACATGACTGTCTTGGTGGTGCTTTCCAAGAATAACAAATAAAACATTTAAGTTTAATTTTTTAAAATAAATAACTTCTGTCTGAACCGGATTGTGCATCCCAATAAGTGTATATTTTTCAATTATATAAAATAATTTGCTAATGGATTTTTTTTAATCTTTTCTTTTCCCTGTAGATTTGGCAGGATTTTATGTTTGCCTGTGCACTTTATCCAACTGACCAGAATTATTTAGCATCTGTAAGAGCAGAAGTTCTTCATCAGGTATTTTGTCCATGTGTCAAAGTTCTATTTCCCATTATCTATTTTTGATTGACCAACTGTATAAATTAGCTTTTCAGAAGTGGTTTTTTGGAAGTGTTTATTAGTGTACCTTTATGTAGCAGTATATACATAAAACATAACCTTGGTAAATCTTCTACTACTTACAGGAGCAGTCAGTCAAGCAGACTGTACAGAATTTACCCTTCACATGTGTCTAAGTAGATGAGGATGGAGGTACACATGTGCATATGGTAGATATATGTCAGCATGTTAGAAGTTTGCCTTTCTGAAAGTGTATGTTACAAAAGTTTGAGCCTAGTGGCAAGCTGAGGGAATAGTGAACAGTGCAGCTAAAAATAGGAATTGTAGGCTAAGTATATGTAATATGCGTGTGAACTTGTAATTCAAGTAGTAACAAAGTGATTTTTAAAAAGAAAAAATTTTGAAGATAAGTAATTTTGCTTGACTCCTGAAACTGTAAATTGTATTTCAGGTGCGACGTTTAAAATCTCATCCATCAATTATTCTATGGAGTGGTAACAATGAAAATGAAGCAGCAATTTCAACCAACTGGTTCTCCATACCTCATGCCGAAAGAGAGAGATATATCAGAGACTACCTGATGCTTTATGTGAAGAACATACGAGAGATAGTTCTTAATGTAAGTGATCTCAAGAAACTGTAGGGGAATATGCCTTGGCAAATGGTTTTAAGTTGGGATTTTCTTTTTTAATCCTTTTGAGAAATTAAACCCAGCACATTATTGAGAAATTGCCTTTTCCAAGCTCTTCTAAACAACTCTCTAAACTTAAGGGTTATTCTCAGAGTAAAGCAATACAAAAAATTACTTATACCTTTAGCATTTTGTGATATGTAAAGGAAGACCTGAAAATGTAGTGGATCTTGCTTCTTTTTTCCTTCTGATTTTTTAATACGTCCACAAATGCCTTCACTGCCAGTGGACACAAATCAACTTGCCCATTAATTAATTAATCTAGATGATCAGGTTTCCTTTTTGCTGATTTTGTTGAAGGATACTGTAAGAAGCATCTAACAACCCTCTGGTCTTTTAATAGCAGTTGAAGAAATCCATAAAGATGTCATTTTTTCAGTGTGCTCTTCCAGTATTTGACTGAAGTTTTTTGGCTTAAGCAGGTTAAGCAAAAGTGATGCTAAACATTGTCCCCATGCTGATGTCCTCATTATATTGTGTGTTTTTGAAAGAACAGAATAGTGGTCTTCTACAGTACATGAAGGCAAAAGAAAATACTTTGACGTAGAACTAAAACTGTGAGCATGCATTCCACAAACATGTGGAATCTGTAAAGTCTACTGCAGTTTGGTACTACCCATTTTGCACAGCTTTTCTAGTTTTATTTCTCCTCCTAGAAGTATTGCAGTTCTTTATTAGTTAATGGAATCTACTTTTACCTCTTTTTTGTGTATGTAGAGTGAAATTGATTGAAAAGTCCCAATATAGGGATTGACAAACAATTCTTGAACCGTAGGGAATTGTAAATTTTCCTGTTAGCTAAGAGACAAAATGCTCTAAAAATTTCGTCCGGTTAGAACTTTCTGCTTCAACAAGAGTATGAGTTTTTATTTACCTAAAAATGCTAGTGGCCTTTTCCTACCTACTTATCCCATGTATAGTATGATCTTACTGACTCCAGGGTACGATAATTTTAGTCTAATTTCTATCCTATTCACAATGAGATGCATTTAATATTATAAGGCTCATGACCTGACATTTCCTTTTGCTAAGACATACACTCAGTGACAGCAGTATTATTGCTTGTCATTGGAGGCTACTGGCATTGTCAGTGTAGTTGTACTCTGAGAATTTAGAACATCTTTCTACAGGAAAAGATTCGAGGAAGCAACAAAAATGAAACCAGGTTTGAAAGAACCTGCTGAAAAGGATCCTGCTTTGAGGGCAGTTTTTCATTCTAAATGGTAATAGTGTCTTATATTCCTGCTTAATGTGTTGATTCTAGATTTCTATACTGAGCTATTTGTAGAGGTATGCTGTGCTATTTCTGTGATTAGCTACATGAGTTAGATGGCCAATGCATGTGCAGCAAAGTGAGGTGTTGTGACTTGATACTGGGTTTTAGTTACAGTTTACTTGTGCAGCATTGCCATCCCATATGGACCCTCTTTTATTTTAAATCCATAGAATAACTATTTTCAGTGCCAGAAGGAACCATACAGTGAAATAACTTCAGGTCCTCTATAATACAAGCCAGCTGAGGAAACCTGTAATTACTAGCAATAGTGGACTGTATAGTTTAAGAAGACTGCTAACCTTGAGCTAAAGACTTCAGGGATTTCAGGATATCCTGTAGTAACTTATTTCAGTTAATTATTAATTACTCATTTAAACAAAAAAAAAGTGTGGAGGAACAGAACTGTTTCTTAAAATAGGAAGCACATGTCTGATTGTGTTGCTGTGTTGGAGCCAATTGCTGTAACTTGTGACTGGTAACCAGCTCAGGCCTCTATCTTACTGCAGGTAGGGTGCTAAATGAATTAGACCTGCAAAAGGATTCCTTCAGTACTTTGTAGGGTACTGTTAAAAGATTTAGTATTGTAAGTCTACTGAGGCTATAAATAAAGGCAGATCTGAACAATTTGAAATGTAACCCTTCTTGTAGTCTCATCTATCTTAACATGCAGAGCCAGGTAAAATGACAATAACCTGTAATGATACCATCTAAGCATTAGAAGCAGAACACCTTGGATTTGTTAGGACTAAATTTAGGTGACTGTTTAATGAGAAAGGAGAAAATCATGGCCGTGTTCCTGCAAAAACACCGCAAAAGTAATAATTTTCCGTGAAGAAGTCACAAAGCACACTTTTAAATAGCCTTCATTAAGAATTTAGAAGCATATAAAGATAGAAAATCTCTTGATGTTAGGAGAGAATCCCTCAGAACAGTGGAGCAAGCAATATCATGCCCAGCTGTCCTCCAATAACATAAGTAAGAAGCTAATTAAGCAAGTAAAGATGATGAATGCTAGGACATAAAAGGGAATGTTTCCTGGGTGGTGACTCAAAAATTTGGAAAAGGCATGTTTTCCCTGCCCCACCTTTTCAAAATATGGTCCATGTATATAGATGATAAAAGCCAATCACTCTGTGAGGGTGTTGTAGTTTTGTTTTGATTTTTTTTTTTTTTTTTTTTAAATCCCAGGAAGATAGGAGTCGTCCTTTTATTGCATCCAGTCCCACCAATGGCTTGGAGTCAGTTAAAGAAGGTTGGGTCTCCCAGAATCCTTATGATACCCATTATGGTGACACTCACTTTTATGACTACAACAATGACTGCTGGAACTGGACAATGTATCCTAAAACTCGTTTTGCTTCAGAATATGGATTTCAATCCTGGCCTTCCTTCAGTACAATCGAAAAGGTAAGGCTGGGCTTCCACACCTTACTGACTCCTCCACTCTCATTCAGTGAGGGCAACGAGTCTCTTTCCAACAAATTACAGCATCCAAACTGTAGTTTGGATAATGTATTATTAGGTGTAGTATGACACAGGTGGGATAGAGGTGTGTGATGGTGTGGAGGGAGGGGATGAAACTGTACTGTTTCCTCCTCAGTATTCTTGATGTTGCAAGGGGAACCTAGTTTAGGCAAGAGACTATTATGAGACTGTTAGTTTTAATAGTAATTCTACTTAATGTATAGCTTAGTAGTGATTGCCTAACATCTGTTTCCTCTTGTAGTGTCTAAGGACACGTGTTCATTAAGAAAGAGAAGAAATATGACAAAAGCTGAATTGTGATGGATTTTAAAATGTTTTGATTTTTGTAAATTTTAGCAATTTCTTTCACGTAAATAATTCACTTCTTGGTGTATCGCACATAAGAGGATTTGTTTATGTCTCCTGTTGAATTTAGATATTTTATGTTCTATCTTATTTATCCAATTGGAGCAGAGACATATTGTGCTGTTTGTCCATTTATCTAGGGAGAGATGAGTTTCATGGTGATGCTCATGCATGCAACCAAAAGGAGTTCAGAATGTTCTTTTAAATTTACTGGGCAAAATATATTGTCTGAAGCATAATCAGAACGTTCATCCATATTAATAACAGTGACAATTATTCAATCCAGTCTAAAAAGGAACAAAAATAAAAAGATTCTATAGAAATTATAATTACAATGAAAGTTTGGCAGTAGTAACTGTATGAATTATGCTGCATTGTTGTCATTAGCTGAAAAAAGCTGGTTTATGATCATACGTTTTCAGAGGCAGGTTTTGAAAATATATATACACATTATTAGAGTTTATAGCCCTACTGACTTCTGTAACTTTTTTGTGTAAATGTGCTTGACTAGGGTACGTTCTTTCATGTTAGTGTAGGGTGTTTCTGATTTACTGTAAGTGCAAGCAAAACTCTGAGATCCCTTGGCCAAACTGAACCTTAGGACAAATAAGTTAAATGCCATTGAGCCAAAAGCCAATTGTCTGTTTTCATCTGTTTGTACAAGGAGTGTTAAGCAAAGGGTGTTACTGATTCAAAATCCTTGCATGACTGCATGAGGCACTGTAGAAATCTACTACCAATTTTAAGGTTTTGCATGATCAGCAGGCTGTAACAGGTATCCTTTCCTTGATATCCTGATGGCCATTAAATGTACATTTTACCTTTTCATTCTGATACCTTACTTTTGTGTTTTTTAAAAGGTTTCTTCTGCTGAAGACTGGTCCTACGTAAGCAATTTTTCTCTCCATCGGCAACATCACGACAGTGGCAATGTTCAGATGCTTCAAGAAGTTGGGTATCATTTCAAGCTTCCACAGGGCACAGATCCTGTAAAGAGGTTCAAAGATACAATTTACCTCACTCAGGTAACAGTCACATCTTCTATGTACGTAGCTGCCAGTACTCGTTCCATTAGATTCTGTCAGCAGTTAGAGCTTGGCCTGTTCTGTTAGGTAATGCTCAGTCATACAGAAAGTTTCTGTACTGAAGCATTTGAGAGTCCGTTTTAATTTGGAAATAGCTTCTCTCTCATGTACTGGAGAGAGACTCCTATTTTTATCATAGAAGGGTTGGAATACTTCTCAGGGAATTACCCAGGAACTGGCTCAACTGGGATAAAGTCTGGCAGTGTGTGCTACCTTGGTCCCTGTCCCCAGCTGGGTTCACTCATGAAGCTGGTGGAGGATGCAGGGATGTGCTGGGTTTCCATGATATGAGATTATTCCCAGTGCTACATGTTACTTCCTGTTCCAGGGTGGATGTGTTTTGCTCTTCATGTGGCCCTTTTGGGCTTATTGCTTTGATTTTTGCCACATGGAACACACATGCTTTCGAAACAAGATTTTTTTCTAGGGAATGTAGTTCTTTATGAATTAGATTATTAGTAGCTTTTATTTTGTTACATGCTCAGATAATGATATTTTAGAGAATATAATTTGGGCTTTTTTTCAAATCAGGAGCATATATTTTGTTCTTCATCCATAGTAGTTTTACCTCATGCTTGCTTTTTTATTTGTGATTTCTGTGCAAGTTTTAAAAAATGTTAAGTAACTTTTTGATGCTATTAGGCAAGTTTAAAGTGCTGTTAATTTTTGTTGTGTTTCAGGAAATTCAGAAACACTCTTGATGGAAATAACTGCACACTAAGTTTTTAATGTTTGAGAGTGCTGTCAGCAAGTTTTATATAAAAACAAAACAGCTTGAGAATTTTAGGCACTCTTGACAAGAGAACAAGGATAGATGATGCTGTGAAACTGAAAACGGGTAAAACTTGCACAGTGGGGTCCAGACTCAAAAAGCTATGAGAGTTTCTCCAGGGTTAAGTCTGTCAGGGCCTTCCTAACAGATGAAACCATTGAAGAATACCAAAATAAAGCTAGCAAAAAGGGTAAAGACAGTAACTTGACTCAAGTGGATATCTTTAGCTTTTGAGCTGTCCTAAAGATTTTTAACTTTATTTTAAGAATTTCTTTTAATACTTCCCCAGCCTAGTAATGTGCTTTGTGAAGAACATAACAGGCTGTTTAGCATCTGTTGACAACTTGGCCAATGACCAAATCTGAAAAGTGTTTTTTAGATGAGGTGAGGAAGGAGAAAAGAAATGGGAGTTCAGATGGAGAAAGGCTGCCCTTTTGGTGCAGAGTTTTGGCTTTATAGTGTGAATGTGTGTTGTGAGTTCAGTTCATAGGGGTTTAGACATCAAGGGAGTGTGTACTGGAGGTAGTGCAGCCTAACGACATTTGGCAGCTCTTGGGAGTTTAAAGTTATGTGCTGCTGCTGTGAAGTCTGTGTTGTATGTTAATATATTCACACATTTTGAAAGAAAGTAGAATACAATATACCAAAAATATTTTTTTATGTGTTTGTTGATCAAGGTGATGCAGGCTCAGTGTACAAAAACAGAAACTGAATTCTATCGTGCTAGTCAAAGTGAAATAATCAGGGGAGAAGGACACACAATGGGAGCTCTGTACTGGCAACTCAATGACATTTGGCAGGCACCTTCATGGGCTTCCTTGGGTAAGTTTTTGTGACAGTCTGCTGAAAAGCACCAACTACCAGTCTTGTTTTGTTTTCTTCATCTGGACATGTCAGAATAAGAAGTATGGCTCTGCTCTGTCTCTTGGGCAACTTTACAAACCTTGAATATATTTCTATCCATCCTTTAGAAATGCTTTCCAGAAAAGTGTTTTTTCAGGATCATCCTAAGAGTCTGTTAAAGTGGAAGAGGGTATAGAACAAAGCAATTATTTTCCTATGGAAGTTTTGCAGCTTAAGTTCAAACTTAGCAGTCACCAGTTCTTACCCTTGTTTGAGCAGGGTTTAGTTTGGAGAAGTTAAAATTGTATGTAACTCTTAATTTCTTAAAAAAAATATTTTTTTGTTTAAGCAGTATTCTCATTTCTCCCAAGGAAATAATATCGCTGAAGCCAGACAAAGCTGCCTATTAGGAAGGAGTGATGGTTAAGATTGAGGACACAATCCCCTTGTGAACTTCCAACTACCCTTCCTTTTGTTATGTAGAGGTGGATCCTCCCAGCTGCATGTAATATATCTTCCAGGTTTTTCCAGAAAAGAAAATCTTTACATTTTTTGCAAGCTTAATTATTTTAAAATTAGAAAAACCAGTTATTTAAAATTTGGGGACTTGTAATAAATTCTATTTTCAAAGGGGAAATCCCTGATCATATTTATTGTCTCAGCTGTACAAATACATTTATGCACCCAGCCACCCTGGGTGAGAATGGACAGAGAGGGAGGTAGTTGGGTAGGAGAGTAAGAAGAAACACCCACGTATAATTTTACTTTCTGTAATCTCTACAAATTTGGTTGATTTTGTCTTCTCTACCTCCAATGGTAAAATGATCAAAACCTCTCCCTTGAGTTGGCCATAGTGCACTGTCAAAAAACCAACACAACTGTGATCCCGTTCTGAGCAGGATGGGATTTACAGTGTAAAGGCTGGGCCTCTAGATTTCTTCTGTAAGTCAGGTGAGGGAGAGGTGGTTATCTCCATACGTGATTCATTGTGTCCTTAGCTGTCTGATAACTGGGAGGAATTATCTTCTTCGTGCTGAATGTGATTTTCATAGAACTTCATATGAAACCTCTCACCCAGCATAGCTTCTGAGAAGCTCTTTATAGGAGAAGACTAGCTGGGATTTGGTGCCTAATGGGATATCAGATGAGGTGAATCATTCTTCGTGATGAAATTATTCTGCTAATATGCTATTTACAGACATGGTATCTCCTTATATATTATATATATTTATTTTTTCTTTTTAGAACACAAAAACCAGGGTAATCAGGCATATAAAGAGATAAGTCACTCAGGCAGTAAGAAATAGGGGAGGAACGAGGAATGTGTGGTATGAGGGAAGTGGCTGTGTTTCATGTTCCATTTTGGCTACAAGTCATTTTGTAAGGGAGAACTGTTCTATGGCAGCTATTCTATTGGGTATAGTCTCTTTCAATTTTAGTTATTTCTTAAATATTCTGGTTTTGAAAATCTTGATTTAAGCATTTCATGAATGTGAAGAAATAAGAGTGAACTAGGAAAAGCTAAGAGTGTGAAGCTCTTGATCTGTCCTTCGAACAAAATACCACTTTCTCTTCCTTTGAAAAAAAAATTAGCCCACCCCATCCTTCCCCTCTTTCTCTGGGAGATGTTTGTCCCCCTCTCTTTTTGTTCTTCTTTTTTTTTTTTTTTTCATTTATTCATCCAAAGTAAGTAAGTGCAACAACAAAGGAAAACAAATTAGTGGAAGAAACAGGCTAATTTATTTAATTGTTAAGGCAATGGTCTAGCTATAATGGTCATCTTTTGGGACTTTCTAGACTTGTGTTAGGAAATACAATATCCCGATGTTCATTTTTATGACTCTAGCAATGGGTGATGCTCTTAGGCTTTAAGTACCTCAAGAGAAAGAGATGCTTGGAAAAATGTCTCTTTGTAAAGACAGGTGTATTGATACAGGAAGAGATCGTGGAGACCATAAATGTCTTTTTAAGTACAGAGCTGACATCACTGTAGAAAATATATCAAATACTTGAATTATTCATGTGTTGCTGAAGTTGGTTTAGAGAAAAGAAGCTCAGCAGAGATACAGCTGTCCCTTTGTTTTGTTCTATTCCCTCAGTGGAATGAGGAAAGGTTTAATATTCATTTAATTAGGCAGTGTGGTAGAGGGATTTTGAAATGCTAATGGCTGGAATTATGCAAAACTTCAGAGAAATTAGTTTTATTTGCACTTCAAAAACACGTTTCTGCATCTTGTTAGATGGCACAGTAGTATCACCAATGAGCGCTTTTATTTAAATCTGGTATTTCGAAGAGAGCCATGGAGGGGCTTACATAATTTCCCCTACAAAGCAAAAATGTTTCCTCATGAAATGGGGAAAGAAGAAGGTAGCAAATGTTTATCCTTTTAATTTTTATCTTTAAGATGTTTGCTTGGGATTGAATGAAAACACAGCACTGCATTCCTGTCATAGTACTTCTGCCTTCAGCTCAGAACCAGACAGCTTTTATCACAACTGGGTTTTGACTGTTAGCTCTTAGTTGTGGAGCTGGTTGTGCATGTTGAATGCTTTAGCATCTATGCTGTATGTTTTGGTGAAGAGTGCTGTAATACACATGGCAATTTATCTCTCTCCCACACAGGTGTAACCTTGAGGTACCCAACTCAGTTGTCACAAGGTTCCCTTGAACAGATAACTGGCTTTTATTGCAGGTTCAATATTTAGAGCCCCTGGTGAACCCTGGTACAGCCTATTATGGAGAATAATTGATCTGAATTCGTGAGACTGGAGTGAGGAAAGAACTAGCAGCATGTTTCTCGGGTTGCATTTAATGGTGTGAAGTGATTAATTTAAAATCATTTCAGGGAGAACTGTTTGTTTTCACTCCTGCTATCAGTGTAGAAGCTTCAGGGAAGAGCCAGAAAAAAGGGTACTGGGGTCTCATTACAGACCTAATTTTTAGTTTCCTGTTCTGAAGTTTGATACCACAGAGAGTGCCCACCCCATGTTATCAGAAAAAAAATGGGGAACTTGGATTTCTTTAAGAATTTATTTAAATGTGGGAGGAGGAGGAGAAAACCACCCCAGGGCTGTTTTAAATAACTTTTGACTCTTGCCTTTGGGCACACATATCTGTAACAGGAAAGTTTAGGACAAAGAGATTTTTCACTATAGCTACTGATCTTCAGATTTCTTACATCCATTTTTTTTAGGGGGGAGGGGGGAGATGTGAAGGTATTTATATGCAACTTGCCTGTTTTTAAATAAAGAAATGTGGCTCTGGTTTTACGGAAATCAAGGCAACAGATGAACTGAAGAATGTGGGGGTTTTTAATCAGTGAGCTTCAGTTTTCTATGCTGTCTGAAGTTACTTTGACAATTGTATTACCAAGATCCTGTTGCTGGAAAAGTTTTCTTTGAAAGGCACTTCCTGTGTGAAACTGCTACAGCTGTTGAGCTTTGGTTCTTTAAAATGGCTCTAGGTTTTTTGGAAAGGGAAATACCAACCTTAAAAAGCTGATCTGAGGTAAGCAGACTATTGATGTTTTCAAACATTCCAAAACAATAGGTGTAGTGGTAGTAGAATGGTTTTTTGAAATGGTACAAACTTTTAAGTGTGTGGTTTGTTTGGTTTTATATGTTGGTTTGGGTTTCTCTTGTTTTTGTTTCCCTGTGGAAGTGTAATGCCAAATTTACTCTGAGTTTTTTCCTCCTCTGTACAGGTTTCTTGAGGGTCTCTGTATCTGCTACCCAGATAGCAAACTTTCTCTCTTTCCCTCCAGTAACCACTGCAGTGTGGTTCCAACTGTGTAATCCATTTGGAAATCAAGGCACAGCAGAGATTTGAGAGAAGGGCCCAAATCAAAGAGAAACACGATTTTATATTACACTAAGTAACTAGAACTGCCCTACATCAATTGCATTATTGATGTACGTATTTAAGACACTTGAAGCCTAGATTTTCGTCATGTAAGTTAAACTTTTAGGAAAAAAATTCAAGTCAATGGGCACTGAAACCACAGCCCATGCTGGGTAATTTGTCTGAACTCTGGTGGGCTTTTGGGGGTCTGTTGCACTGACAACTGAAATTCCTGAGAGTTCTGTAGCAGTCCTGAGAGTTTTAGAGATTTCAACCCCTCACAAACCATCCCAGCCCATTTCTTATACAAGGCCCATTGCTTTTATTTGTTAGATCAGGTACTGCCCTGCAGTTTACTCTCTTTCAGATAATCCATCCCCAGTCTAAATCTCTCATCTTCTCAAGTGTCATGACCCTAAAGAGTAATTTGTTAACACTCCCTGTTATTGGTGGATTTGTCCTTTAAACCACCAATGTTTTCAGTCAGGAATTGTCCTTGGAATGCTAGAACATGCTTCCTTCTTATCACTAGGGGATCAGGCCCAACCAGCACAGGTTTGTGAAAGGCAGGTCCTGCTTGACCAACTTGATCTTCTTCTATGACAAGGTGACCCGATTTGGTGGATGAAGGAAAGGCTGTGGATGTTGTCATCTAGACTTTAACACCCATTTCCCACAGCATTTTCCTGGAGAAAAAGGCTGCTTGTGGTATGGATGGGTGCACTGTTCACTGCAAAAGCAAACTGGCTGGATGGCTGGGCCCAGAGAGTGGTGGTGAATGGAGTTATATCCAACTGGTGGCCGGTCACTAGCAGGCTTCCCCAGGGATCAGTATTGGGGCCAGCCCTGTTTAATACCTTTATCATTGATCTGAACAAGGGGATTTAGTGCACCCTCAGTCAGTTTGCAAACACCAAGTTGGGTGGCAGTGGTAGGAAGGCTCTCCAGAGGGATCTGGACAGACTAGATTGATGTGCCGAGGCCAGTTGTATGAGATTCAACAAGGTGAAGTGCCAAGTCCTGCACTTGGGCCACAACCACCCCATGCAGGCTGGGGGTAGAATGGCTGGAAAGCTGCCTGGAGGAAAAGACCTGGGTGTGCTGGTCAACTTCAGACTAAACATGAGCCAGCAGTGTGCCCAGGTGGCCAAGAAGGCCAAAGGCTTCCTGGCCTGTATCAGAAGTAGTGTGGCCAGCAGGACCAGGGCAGTGATTGCCTCTCTCTACTCAGCACTGGTGAGGCTGCACTTTGAATTCTGTGTTCAGTTCTGGACCTCTCACTACAAGAAAGACATTGAGGAGCTGGAGCGAGTCCAGAGAAGGACAACAGAGCTGGTGAAGGCTCTGGAGCACAAGTCTGAGGAGCAGATGAGGGAGCTGGGATTGTTCAGTCTGGAGAAAAGGAGGAGGCTCAGGGGTGACCTTATCACTCTCTGCAATTACTTGAAAAGAGGTTGTAACCAGGTGGGGTTAGGCCTTTTCTCAAAAGTAACAAGTGACAGGACAATAGGAAATAGCCTCAAATTGTGCCAGGGCAAGTTTAAATTGGATCTTAGGAAAAATTTCTTCACTGAAAGGGTTGTCAATGTTGCCCAGCGAAGTGGTGGAGTCACCATCCCTGAAAGTCTTTACAAGTTGTATAGATGTGGCACTTAGGGACGTGCTTTAGAGGTGAACAGTTAACTTGATGATCTTAGAGGTCTTTTGCAACATAAATGGTTCTACAGTTCTATATACTGAGCAGCACCAATATACTGAGTATGTTCATCAGTTTGTCAACTGTCTGTTTTGAAGAAGCTCAGCAGCCTCTCCTGAAGTTTTCGTTTAGACTTACCTCTTTGGTTTGTTTCAGTACTATTAATTTGAATGGTGTTTCTTCTGGCAACAGACTGATCTCACAGCACAGTTGAATCCTGTATGGGTTTTCCAAGCAGATTCGAGCTTTGCTTATCCGTTCTCCAAGCTAGCTGGTTGTGAACTTGCTGAGAACAAGGTGATGTGTAAGGTGATAAGCTGGAGCTAGTGCACTTTACTCTTCTCAAAGTTCATTTGTGTCTGTGTGGAGTGCAGGCAGAGCATATTCAGCCTGGGAAAGTCACAAACGCAGCCTTTAAAGGATACATCACTCTGAATGAAGTCTTTACTTAAGAGATTTTTGAAAATGCTAAGAGCTTTGTACAGGCACCAAAACAGAGAGGCAATTAGTTACGAGAAAAACATATTACTGAAAATATTCTTCAGCATCCATGGACTTTAAACCTGTTGCATAAAACAAAGAGTCAACAACAAGAATGAAATCAGCATCTAACTTTTCTTTCCTTATGAGATGCTGCAGCTGACTTGCTACTTCCTTTTAGTGCTGTTTCAATGACTGGATAATGACTGAGCAACGACAGACTTAAAATGCTGACGGTGGGTGCTAGATGGAAGGTTAATAGAGGAAGAAATGGAAGCAGCTTTTCTTCCAAAATGATTATGTGGCACTGTTGCATCTGGCAAAATTGCTTTTTTTGGAGAGGACGCAATGTTTGATGGCTTTTCCAGTTTAATGGCAGGCTTTCAAAGTATTAAAAGTAATGAGGTACATCTCATTAAAGAGGCAATGCAAACTGATTGGCATATGTCTGTCATGGACATACATATGGCTCTCATGAAGTAAATGTTGTCTCTAGATCTTGGCAAATTCATTTTGCCAAGCTCAGAGTTGTCTTTGGTTTAAGAACTTGTTTTTTATCTTTGTTGCTACTGATGTTCCTCTAAGAAAGAGGGGGACTGAAAAAGGGGAAGAAAGTGCTTTGTATAAGCACCAAAAGTCAGATTTTGGTGTCTCTTTTTATAGTAGTGGTAGCTTGTGGCTACATAGATGCTCTTGCTGCTTGCTTAATGTGTGGTATGCCGTGTCAGTTTTGTCACTTGTGTTTAAGGCTTTATTTAACTGAATGGCAGTGTAGCAATGATAGGAGCAAGAGGTAGAAAATGTGACCTTTTGGTGAAGTTCAAAGTAAAGCTTCAAGGAGCATTGAATCTTTAGAGTAGAGCCTTGCCTGGAAGGAAGCTAGAGTACCTTCAGTCATTCTTTGCACTTGGTAGAGGTACAAAAGGGTACAGGAGGATGCTGTATTGCCATAGCAGGACCAGAAAGCACAGGAAGAGATTGAAGTGCCAAGACAGTCTTGGATTCAGTTTGATTCTTTCTTCCTTTTAACCCTTTACAGAGTATGGTGGTAAGTGGAAACTGCTCCATTATTTTGCCCGGAACTTCTTTGCACCACTGCTGCCTGTGGCGTATGAAGACCAAGGTGTGTTGTACATTTACGGTGTCTCAGATCTTCATGGGGACCAGAAGCTGACTTTGAGGGTAAGTGACACCTCTCTCACCACCCTTGTGTGCCTCCTGCAAAAATGTGAGAAGCTGAAAGAGCACATCTTTGCTTAACAAGCTTCAAGCTATGTTCAGACACAATGAGGTGCAACTCTAGTCTTTAATCTTCTTAGAGGCAACACTGTCTTTTATTATAGTAGTGTGTACTGCTTCACAGAAGAAGGAATTAAGTGCTTTGCTTTCAACCTGTAGGTACAAGCCTGGAATTAACTATTCTATTGAAATCTTAAAGGGATTGATGGTTAAATAGAACAAAGTGTGAAAAATGGTACCTCACTACTTAACAAAACTGTTCCTGGGTGTTAGAACTAGATTAACTGACTAAGCAGGGGCAGGAAAAAGGGATTGTACCACTGCTTATCAGTACTCAAACTATACCACTTTGGGAAAAAGGACTGGATTATTTTCTGAAATATTGATAGAACATCAAGGTGTACATTAATTGCAAGGTCACTTATGCAGTGTTATCATTTTTCAATTGATGCCTTACATTGTTTTCTGATAATGCTGTAGAAATTGATAGGATTTTTCAGGAAGTATTTGGGCTGCTGAGTTGCCTTGTAGACCACAGTCTTCCTTTTCAACTTGTTACATTTTGTTGCTGTTAATCATGTGGCAACCAGATCCCAAATGAATTTAGGGACCATGTTGCATGATGAGATATAACTCCTAGCATACAGTGTGTCCCATGTGAAAACTCTGGTAAGGATGGAAAACCAGATCTGGAATGACTCACTAGTCATTTTGGAACTAATAGGATGGGTGTGTCAAGTCCTGGTTCACTCGTCTGTCTAGTGGATTTCCATGAATTTTGAGATTTATAAGGTTGCTTATATATAGTAATATATGGTACAGAAAATGGTTGCAATTTCTGGATAGTTCAGACTAGAACTGCACTTATTGAAATTGTTTATTTCTGGTCTGAGTTATTCTAACAGACTTAAATTCAGATTTTCTGATAGCATCAGGAAATCATTGGCAGTAGGGTAGTTCTGATGAATACTGTATTTTGCGCTTCAAGAAAATTTGGAACTTAACTTTTGAAAGGAGTTAAGATCTATTTCTGACTGCAGACTCCTGTTGAGGTAAAAAATAACCTAAAATTTATGAAATAAATTGTAAATAAAATGTAATTCTCATTATGTGCTTATCTTCCAAATTATGCCTTTTTTAAAGGTATGTTCATAATGCATGCATGACGTTTGGAAGTGTGTTTTGCTGTATTAATATAACTTTCACAGTCTCTTTTAAGGTGATGCAGCTTGCTTCTGTTTAATGGTGATTATGCAGAAACTCTAGCTTACCCAGTTGAGTTACATCAGATAACACTGAGCAATCTTAAGAAAATCCTTTGCTTGACTTTTTTTAATCAAGGAGAGGAGGAAAGAGAGTCAACAAATTAGTCACTCACTAATTCCATTTCCCAGCACTCCCTTGGCAGAAATTGGCAATCCCCTCCTCTGGAGGAGCCTGAAGAAAACAAAAAGTCTTGCAGATCAAAAACAACAACAGCTCAAGACTGTTTGAAATGGACTAACTGTTTTTAGAAGGATCTAATTATTATGCCATATCTATTGTTTAAATCTTTGTAGAGTTTCTTGCTAGGTGGAAATCAGCTGGTGCTGTCAGGAAAACATCTGTTGTAATGAACAATCTGAAACCTAGGATGCTGCACTGTTTTCATAGATGTAGCTTTTCTTCTAATATTTGTGCTCTCTCAATATGCTTCAATAGGTCGTTGTGCACACCTGGGGTTCTTTGGAGCCAGTATGTACCCTTGCCAAAGAAGGTGTGATTGTTAAAGCACAAAGTGCTGTGCCCATCTACAAGGAGTCCATAAGCGATGTTCTGGAAAGATGCAGAAATTGTACCAGGAAAAGCTGTGTTATTACTTTCTGTCTTGTGGGAGAAGATGGCCTCCAGAGTCCTACGAACCATTTCTTCCTTTCATCACTAAAGGATGCTGTAGGATTAGAAAAGACCCAGCTTAGTGTAAGCATCAATCATGCTAAATTACTGCATTTGATTTTGCTAATCTTGCTGGTTTGAGTGGTTTGCCTGCTATGCAGTGTCTGGTTCCACTGAATGTTCTTTCTCCTTAGTTGTTGCTGTTATAGCTTCCATGTTGAGTTCAAAATCAGATTTTTTTTTTTCTGTGTCACTATATGAATATCTAAATAAGACTGGTGGTTGGTTTGTTTGTTTTCATGTGTGTTTTTTGCCTGGGCTTTGGTTTTTTTCAAATAATGAAGCCTCCCTTTCATTTTTTAGACTGTCTTTCACCTGACTGCTGCAGCATTACTCCTTTCTTACTTTTTTGTCCCTAGATAGCAAAAAGCATCATGACAAGTGGTTTGGCTTGCAGGCGGTAATGTCACTATTAGGTGTTCCTAGTTCAGTTGAGTGTGGAGTGCATTGTTGTCATGATATTTCCTCTCTTTCGAAGTGCTAGTATTTCCTCTTGAAGTGCTCACACTCTGAGATCAGTGTACCATTGCTAACATGTAATATTCCGTGATCCTTTCCTCCTTCTTCAACTCCCTGCCCTCCAGAAAGGGTTCTGATTTGCGTAATAGTGATTATTTCTTAATAGCTGACAAGTGTGTCAGTCTTCTGAACAGGCACAAAAAGCATCAGTGTTGTGTAACATTTAGTCAGTTTGGTGCTTTTCCTTAGATTTCTTCTGCTCCCAGCAAGCTTGCTGTGTATAGAGGGAACATGCATGCTCTGTGTGTGTGTGTACACACACACATTTTGTTAAGCCTCACTTCTTAGCATTTACGTTTTATTGCAAAATTCTTAATCGTCAGATTGGCAGGATGGGGACCTGTGCCTTCTCACATTTGGCTTTCAAACTGCAGCTTTGCTCTTTGGGACTAAACTAAACAAGGGTGGAATAGAGGTCTTTAATCTCTTTGAATCTGGACCAGCATAATTGCTTTACAAAAAGAAAATGGGCCAGATTTTCCCCTCTTATCTCGCAGTGCAGTCTGCCTCCTGCGTATACAAAGGAAAGAAATCAGCCTGTTTTTATTTTTTTTCAGCTGGTGGCACAATCTGGAGTCTGAGTCATGCTGGGGTTTTTTTTTTGTGGGTGACAACATCAATAATAAAAGCTCTGCAACTGGAGCATCGTTGGGAAATTTCACTCCTTTATCCCATAGCTGTGTTGTCTTTGAATTTATCCTTGTTAGCTGTCTGTACTGCAAAGTGGTCATCTTAGGAAAGTATGCAGCTATGATTAAAAACATTATTCTGTTTAGCAAGAAGCTGGTGCTTCTATACATAGTTACTAATAAGCTAACTAAATTTTCAAATACATTGCTAATCCAAGAGCTACTGTTCATAGCATCGCTTTTAAAAAGCATGAAGACATTAGTGTTTCTTCAGGAAACATGAAATGCAAAGAATGCGTGCTTTTTGTTAAAAATGAAAAAGCCTTGCTTTTCGTGTAACTGGAATGTGACGTCTGCACTGAATATAACTTGTTTTCTGTTTATATATAGTTAATAGGCGTTTGGAAACAGTGTTGCATAATATTTCATTATGGTGAATGGGGAGTGCTGCGTGAAAATGCATCCTGGTTGGGATTTTAAGTCTATCTGAGAGTAACTACTGGTAGAACTTGATATAAAACATTAAACTTTGTCCTGGTATTTTACAACTATTTTTTTTTTATATTTTACTAAACACAGTATAAGGGCTTCACTGCCATGTTCCATTAAGATGAGACGACCTCCTGTGTTACTGTGATATTTTTTTTTACCATCTTTTGCTTCTGTGTATTTCTACCATGGATTTAATTGGAATGGCAATTTAGTAGTTGTGAATTGATCGGTTGAGTGAAGTGTTATGAAAGGACAAATCTCTTTCACTGCAGTAAGTACAGGATACAAGTACTATGTGCAAGTTAGATTACCATTTATTCAGTTATTTTCATAAGAAGATGGTAGAGTGATAACACTTTGGCATTCTTCCACCATCTGTAGTATTCTGTAGCAAGGCTGTAATAACATTTGCAGTTTTTGCATGATTCTTGGATATGAATCCTGTTGATTTCCAGAAGAGATTATTAATTTGGATCAAATGTGGTTGTTCAGTCTGTGTTATGGGCATGCAGCTCTTTTACCAGTTTGGGTGTGACTGGGGTCTTCTTTAACATGCATATTTTCTTTTATTTATTTATTTTTTTTATTTCTCTTTCAGGCTTCTGTATCCAAACAAGATGATACTTATATATTTGTTCTTCAGACCACTGCAATTGCTCCTTTTGTTTCTATGGATGTAGGGAGTATAAAAGGCAGATTTAGTGATAATGGTTTCCTCATGACTGAAAAGAAGAAAGTGGTTGTGTTTTATCCTTGGGAACCTACCAGTGTTGAAGAACTAGAAAATTCACTAACCTTGACCTCTCTGTTGGATGTTGTCTGAAAATACCTCGTTTCCTTCTAGTTATATAAACAGTGAAACAGGAGGAGAAGAAAAGTTAAAACAATTTTACTGAAGTTGAAGTGACACACAATTTGAGCCAACTGGAGAACATACTGTCTGTTCCTGTCATGTGTGAATTTTAACTGCTGGTTCAATGTAAAGATATCAACAGCAAAGCTTACATATAATATATGCGGTGTCTTGAAAGTACATCCATAGTTTTTCTAGTTTCACTATGCTTTAAGTGGAAATTCATCTTAAGATAACAGCAAGGTATGCTGGGGAGTAGGGGGAAGGGCAGGGAATGAAGCTGGGACAACCTCCAGAAGTACGCCTCCAAGTTGTTTGATCTATCTACACCCAGATCAGGAGGGCACTAGTCCTACCCTTTCAGATCTATGGCTGTCATCCATTAAGGTGGTCTGCCTGCCTCCTGCAAGGCATGAAACCTGGGCTGTCGAGTCAGACATCAGGCAGATCTGTTCCCCTTTCTGAAAGAGGAATTCAGTACAAGACTTGTTTTCTGCTCTCTTTTCATGCAAAATAAGCAACAGCCTTTGAGAGCTCTGCATCTAGCTTTGTCTATGCCCAGAGAGCTGCAGGTGCAGTCACAAACCTTTTGCTGCTGTGTGGGATCCCACATAATGTGCCATGTGAGAAAAGGAGCAGGGAGAAGAGTTAACCAAAGGTGCCAAGAGAAAGGAGGCAGTACAGAGAAGAAATGGTCACGTAAGAGAACCACAGAGGTGCAAGTGACTGTTTTTTCTCTACTAAATGCAGGGTGCAGCGGCTGCTGTTCTCACTCAGACACTGCTGCACAGACATTCTGTTACCTCTTGGCATTCCTCATGAGTGGTCCTGTGCTCCACACTGATCCTCCTCTCTTTCCAACAAATTAAAACCTCAACATTTTTCTTTCTATGGTTCCCCATAGAAGACACTCTTGACTCATTATTATATCTGGTGGCACATTGAATTCCTTAGTCTATACAAAGTAATGGTGGTTCACCTTCCATTCTGTTTCCAACTATGTTTTAAAATTTTTAGGTTTCTCATAGAAATGTCATCTCACTTTGGCATTTAATACAAAGAAAATAAGCTTGCTTCAGCATGGTGGACTGCTGTAGCCTGTGGAGCTGAAAGCCTGAGGGTTTGGCTGTCATGAAATCAAGGCCAACGAGCCACTCTGTGAGCAGGTTGCTAAACAGTGGGCTTGTCTGTCAGATGTGGTTTGAAATGCAGCTGGGATCTTGCTGGGGTTCCGCAAGAATCCCCTCGCAGTCCGAGCAAGTATTAATTTTCCTGCAAAGCAGAATCAGCACCATAGTAGGTGGTGTTTGAACAAGCTCTACCGGTGATGTCCATCTGTGTTGTAAAAGCACCAGGTAGGTGATATTTGCTGGGGGGGGCGGGTCTCGAGCTCGTGGCTGTTCCACTGGACACTTAGAGACCTTGGACTGGGGGTTGTTTTCTTGCAGCGACCACAGTTTTAATGGGCAGAGAAATGAGCATGTTGATAAATCCTTGGTGATCTCTGGTGCTTTTGAATTGGGTGTTAACAAAAAAATTACATACTCCTGAGCAAAAGAAAGAACTTAAGGATGAAAGATAAATGATAAATGGAAGTTGCTTACAAATTCTTTATTAGGTCAGCAAAACAACTAACTGCATTTGCATTGTAGGCTTTTTCTGATTCAACACTGGTCCTAGCTAAAAGAAGACATGAAAACAATCAAAATATGGAGGTGTATGTGCCAATGTTTATAGGTTATGCAAAATAAATAGAGAAAATGACAGTCATGAGTAAAACTTAACAGTTAGAAAATGCAGATATTGATAAAGGAGATTAAAAGTTATCTGAAAGGCATCCTGTGCCAACAATACAAAAAAAATTCTTCATTTTTTTTGGTGTCCTGGCATCAAAGTGAAATCAAAGCAGCAATGGCATCAATATAAGGTAAGGATGAAAAAATGTGGAAAAAATATGATTAATGAATACTGCTGCAGTGTATTAGAAAAAGGGCAGATTTTGTTGATGTCTTTCTCTTATGGAGAAATATTTCTTCCAGCAACATCTAGATAGAACTTCAAAATGGCACTTAATAGTGTTAAAGAAATAGAGCTTTGATAGAGTCACTTGTTTAAAGACAATCAAGAGGATTGTCTGGAGGTCAATGATATTTGTTCTTGGTGCATCTCAGCATAGGAGTGAAGTTTGAGATATGTAGAAAAGAGCTTTTGGATTGCTAGAACTTGGATAACTGTGACCTTGTTTAGCCTGTCACAAATTTTAGGCAAAATCGTGAAAGAAATGATGTGGTATGTGATAAATAAATGGTGAAGTGGCTATGCAACTAATGTCTACCAGCACAGTTATGTAGAACAGCATTCTTTTATGTTTTTTTCCCCTGTTGCTTTCTGCAATTACCAGATTGATGTGAAAAGGTTCAGGTGATTTTTTTGATTGCTGTTTTTGAAGGTCAGAAGCTCCCTAAGGAGCAGGTCCATTCTTTCTCACTGGAGAGCTTTAATTCAGCAGTAGGTGCTGTTATGAAAGATTAGCAGTTGCTTAAGCCAAACGCTTGAGCTCAAAACAGAATTTAATGGGGAAGGTTCACTTCCATTGTTGTCTTAATATCCTTAATACATCCTTTTGATTTCCTGGTGTTGTAGTAGGTGTGTATTTATAGGAGCTGTTCTCTGCCCCATGCAGCAGTGGCTGTAACATGTGCTTTGGTTAACCATTTTCCCTTGGTACTTTTGCAGTTGCATACTGTGCTATACTTGGTTACATTGTTCTGCTGTTGTCTCAGATCAGGGCAAAGATAGGAATGCAAGTGAAGAGAGATTCAGGGTACCCAGCACTCATATCAACACATCCATCTGTAGCCACCTGAGTGTTGTTGCAGCTCCTGGGCAGCACCTGTATTGCCAGTTCTGTCTGATGGGCAGGGGTTCAGGAGCAGGAGCATTGGGAGGAGCATATGGTGAGTGTCATGGTGCTTGTCCTCACTGCCATTAAATTATTGGTGGTAGCAGTAGAGGGGACTGGGCTCATCAGTGTTCTTTCAGGGTGGATCCTTGCTATGTTTTGTTCAAGGATCGGTGAGTTTACTTGTGCTGGTGGCCTTTCTTTGCTCTTGGGCCCCCTCCTGGCTATTCTCCACTGATGGCAAAAGTTAGCAGCCAGAGTGCACTTCAGCCATGACCAATGCCCTTCTAGAACAGAACCTGAGAGCAGGTTTGGGAAGAACACTGTATGGCATTGGCTGATTTGTTGTCCTAAAACTGGTCTCTGGCAGAGATTTGGCTCTGAACCTATTCAGGACTTGCAGAGACCATTTTGAGCTTTAGGGGGCACCTCTTTGTTTGTAATTTCTGCCACATGTGGAAGCCTTATTTTGCTCCAGTTTACTGGAGCATGTCCTTGGAAGCTTTTTCAAGTTCTTCTGCATCTTCTCCAGGAAAGAAGCATGCAAATGTATCTGAAAGTTCCTCTCTAAGAAAGTGTTCATAGTTTGTCAGTCTTTGTTGTTACCTGTTGTTTGCATACCTTTTGGCCTGGACAGTTTTCTGGCTTAGAGGCATGTCTTTTTTTGGTATTTTTATTTCTATTAGTCCCCTTTTGGTTTTGGAGATGTGTAGCAGACACATTTTTCAGGCACTTGTAGCAGTGTCAGGAGCAGAGAAACAGGCCAATGAGTTTCTTATTCTAGGGACAGGACAGTTGGGTTTTGTAGCTTACAAGCCAGTCTTTATACTGTCAGAATCACAGTTTTCTTTCTTACCCTCTGAGTAGTAAGTTAAGTCATCCAGGGACTTGTGGTTAGAATGTTTAAGGACATGTTCCAGTCAAAGAATTTGGTCTACATAACTCTGCTTTCCAGTCAGATGTTACACAATAGTGAAATCAAAGTCCCAGTTTAGTTTAATTAGAGTGGAAAAACAAAGCTTAAATGAAAAAAGGGCATCTTTCTGTAGGAAGTAGAGTCAGTTAGTAGAGACCCATAAATACCTGGTTTGATTATTAGTGTGTATCATGGCCAAAATAAAAGGTGTCTCTGGTCTAGGTGACTACAGCAAAGGAAATGTGCTGCAGCATAAAGGGAAACAATACCCTGAGGTGTCAGGAGGAAGGCAGTGAGCATGGCTGCTTGCCAGGACCTGTTCATGCAGCTCTGCTTTGGGAGTTGATATTGAAATTTTTTTATGGGTTCTGTGAGTTCAAAGTGGTTCAGGGTTGCTCTTTCTTTGCATAGCTTTTTTACTTTGAGACTGGCTGGGTACCTGGTTGACTCTGTGGAGGGGAATGGCTGTGGTAGAACTACTGGCCTGTGGATTGAGCCAGGCTTTATGGCCTGGTGGGGAGCTGGGTAATCCAGAACAGAGCTCTAAGTAAGAAAGAGTCTGTTGAGCTGGTGGCCTACTGGGGAAGCAGCTCTTGTCAGATGGAGGAGCTGAAAGTTTCAATCCTGTTTCATGGTGGTGAAAAACCAAAACCTTAAATGCCAGCCTCTGATACCTCTTTGCAAACATTGCCATTGCCAGGCATTGCAGCTTCTCTGCCTTCTCCTATTGTAGCAGTCCTCCTTTACTTGTTGTAAGTAAGCTACATAGTAATACTTGGGGATGCTGGCCCTGCAATTCTGTCTTACCAACTAACATGGACTATACCAGGGTTTAAGCTTCAGCCCATTTCCCCAACAACTGTAAAGGAGTGATGGTGTGAGCCAGGCCTCAGGAGGTTTCCTATGAAAGAAATAGGGGAAATCTTCATCTCTTGTTATTCCATGGTAGTGTTAGGGCGGTAGGAAGCTGTGGTTGGGTTGCCCAGTGTGAACACTGGTGAGGATCCAAGGGCAGCACATAAAGAAGCGGGCTCAGTGTTTAGAACAGTGACGTGTTTTGTGTATCTAACCATCTGTTACCCATCTGGAAGTGCTCTGGCTACAGATTTTGGTTTGTACTGTAGCCAAATATAGACTTTCTTCCCTGGGATGCTGAAGACAAGAAGATACTGAGGTGACTGCACATCTGAAAGAGAAGTGAGGCAGTTGTCATGCCCCTGTCTTTCTGGCAGACGTTGTATTAGCTATCCCAGAGGCGTGATGCTGCTCTGTGCCTGTGTGGGCTGACTCAGCTGGAATGTTGGCAAGTGCCATGGTGGGGCACAGGTTAACAGGTGTTAAGTCTGTCACAAGTGTTTTCCCTTGCAGTATGTAATGAAGGCCACTGATCTGCTAGAGCTCCTCTGTATTGTAAATGAAGCAAGGGTGAATGGATGGCTGAAAAATTGCTACAATGCTTGAGTTTAAATGAGGCCATGGGGAAACCTCTGCAGGCTTTGAATAATAACAGACATACTACAGCCTGGCTCTAAGCAGGACATCAGGCTGCTTCATAATGCTGAATGCAGAAAATCAACTCCTTGGTAATTAACTTGTGTTGTCTTTTTCCTGTAGCTGTAGGAATCTTTGGAAGCCAGCAAAAGTGTGGACTGCGCCTTTGGCGGTTACTTTAGAACTGCTCTGTTGCAAGGGGTGATCATCCAGAAGAGCCAAAAGCTGTGGACTGTGGGTGAGTATTGACCACTGCACCCTGAGCTAACAAATCGGCAGTAGTGTTCCTGACGCTTGGAGGGAGCAAGGACAGTGGTTCTTTTTTTTAAATGTTAAAAAAAAGCATTTTACTTGCCCAGACAATGGAAAAAAGAGGCTTTATACACCAGCACATGTAGGTAACATTCTTATCCTTCCTGCAGTCCACAAAATTTCAGAATGCTTCCTAGAACTTCCCACTACCACACTGATTTCCAAGTTTGTAAATACCCCCAAATATGATGCCAAGAAACTTACAGCTGTGGCAGCCAATCTAAAATCAAGGGCAGTTTAACTTTCTGAATAATCCATTTTACATCAAATGTAGAGAAGATCCATAGTGATCTGTTGTCACAACTTTTGCTGCATTCCACAAGTTTCTGATGTTTATTACTGCAGTACAGTAGCAAAACAGTGGAGCAGGCTCCATTCCACTGCAAATGTAGATTAAGTTTAGAATTATTTCAGATTTTGATCCTCACTGTAAGTAAGTTAAAATGTAATACTAAACTGGACTGAGAATGCCCAAAGTTTACATTTCAGGGGGGGGGGGAAAAGTTTAATTACATAACCTTTCTTATTTTAATACTGAACCATTTGAATATTTCAAGTGTTGCAGGTAAATCAGCGCAGTTACTGTCAAAGTGAGAAGAAGCCTGATTAGCACTCAAAAGAACAAACCCATGAAATCAGGTTTTAAGGATCAATTCGAGGTTGCTGGTTAATGATCTTTGCTCATACCTTCAACCTCAGTGCTTTAATTGCTAATGGAAATAGGCACCAGGCTGCTTGCAGTGCGATGCAGCGCACAAGAGTCCACTGTGGAATAGGCCTAGTCAGAACTGCTCATCCAGCCACAGTGCAGACACCCTGCTCTTGAGTTTGACACGTTGTTGGGTGTTTCCTATTGTTTCTGCACATATCTTAAAAAAACTCAAACTTATTCCTGACTTTTCAGAACTTAGTGAATACCCTTCTCAGTTTTGTTTCCTCAGGGTAACATGGAATAGAATGGGGACAACATCCTGTGCTACAATGTGTAGTGAGGTCCTCGCTGAATGAAACCGTTAAGCCTAAGTTACACCATTACTACTCCGTGAGAAAGGTTTCCCTCTATAAGCCAGGTGTAGACAGAAGCTCTCAGGCAGCTGATTTCTGGATTCTTGCAGGACTGTAGCTGTAGTTTATTCTATCACACTTTTGAAATAGGAATGGCACTACCTTTCTTAGCAAGGAGGTGTAAGGATTAATATCTGTTTGAGGAGAGCAGATACGATGATGTGGTCAATAAATACATCTTGACAGTTACTTGATGTGAACACATTTGTTTTAAATGTTCAAGACTTGTCTGTGTCACTTACACTGTCTCTTGCTAAGCCTCATTCCTCTGTATGTATGTTGCCTTCATCCTCACACCTGCAAGGAGCCCGACCTTCTTCCAGGTACCATCAGTGCAAGAATCAGTGTGCCCTGTACAGGATGACCACTACTACTAAGAAAAAAGGTCGAGCAGAAGAGCACAGTTGTGTGTTTTAGTGTTTTAACTGAGCTGCTTGCAATAAGCACTAGGTTCTCCAGCAGGTTTGCTCTCCCAAATGGAACTACACCAGACACAAATGTCTCCTAGTAGATGTCCTGCCACTTTCTGTAGCGTGTCCTACACTAGGTGGTGTGTTCTACCTCTGTTCTAACACGCTGTGTGGAAGATGGAGAGGGTTGATACAGATGGGAAAAGTTATCCTATTATGTGACTCAGCTGTAGAAATTTAGTGTTCCAGTTTGAATTACTGAGAACACTTTTTAAATTAAGCTTTTTTCTATCTCTAAACAAAGAGGGGGAAAAAAAATAAAAGGACTAAAGTGTCTTTTGTTAAATATACTGAAACTGAGATGCTGCAAGGAAGAAAGCTGCCAGACTGCCATTTAAAGCACTTCAATACACAGGGCCTAGGGGACCTGCTGTTCATTGCATGAATAGCTATTATACAGCATTTGGTCATTAAGTGCTTAAGGAAATATAGGCCCAGGTGTCTTCTGGTGGTTTAAAAACAGAGCTGGTGAGAACTGAGGCTAAAAAGTGTGAATCAACAGTCAGGGTGCACTGCTGACCTGTAGGATTGTAGAAACCTCAGTAAAAATCTCTGCCAGCTTCCTGAGTTGGACAGCAGCTCATCTGGGGTTCAGTAAGCCCTTCCACCCTCAGAATATGAGAACCTTTGCCTGTTTCTATTAGACAAATACATTAATTGAACAAAAATCCTTATGCCTTAGATGCTGCATATGCAGGTTATACATACAATAACTGCAAGAAAGAATGGCATTTTTACTATTATTCATCATGTTTCCCTGAAAGTAATTAAAATACTCAGTAATTCAGCTGGATATAAAATTAGTTCAAAAGGTTTTTTCATTACTTGGTTTAATTCATTACAGCAACTACTGCTCTAAATGTAACCATTCTCAAGGTTTATCTTGATTCATTTTCTCAGGAGTGACACCCAGGTTACTGAAGACTGAACTGAACCAACAGCAACCCTGTCAAATCTCCATCTTTGTGCCACAAAAACTGGCTACAAGTGACTGACAATGGTACAATGCCGCTGGTTGTCTTTTCATCATGAAATCTGATACCTGCTCTGTACTTTTAGTTGGGCCAACATCAGTAACAGTTACACTCACTATCTCAGAATTAATGTGAAACAAGAAACACTTGTTTCTTGAGCACAGTTACTACAGGAGTTTCTAGATAGCCTAAAGGAGAACTGTCTCATCAGAGTTTTGCTGAGACACTAAATAGTTGGTTTCAGTGTAAATGAACACTCTGCTGCCATAATTATGAGAACTGAAACAAGGCAGAGGCTTTAATTCCAAAGCACAAAGCACAGCTGCTTAGCAGTTGCTGATGCTCCTGCTCTCCCACCAAAAAAGATGCTTCAAGCTTTAAGACAGGTGGCTTGCAACCCTTTATTTATTTTAGTATTTGGAAATCAGCATGCTCTTGTATCAATGACTAAAATTGAAATGCTAAATCTTCAATAACTCTACTTGAAAGATATGGAAAAATCACAGCAAGCATAGACAAGAGAATTAATTTTAGGGTTTTATTATAAAAGTAAAATAAAAATAAGCATTTAAAAAGCCCACTTTGTCAAACACGAACAGATATAAAAAAACTATTTACAAGTAGGAAAATGCCAAACTGGAAAAAGATTTTGAATAACAGGCACCAAAGTGAAATTTAAATACATTATTTGAAATATACAAGATTCTTTTTTTTAGGATTTTCTTTTTTTCTCTGAATTGTCACTGTTACGATTAATGATTTTTCTTTGCCAGCTATATTAGGAGCTCTTTTCGTGCAACTGTGCTGCAAAAATTATGAAGAGACCGGCTAGAAACTGTATCCTTTGATTGCTCTGTGTGCCTTACTTCTTTTTTGAGTTCATATTATGCTTTAAGGAGTGACTTTCATCTGTAAAAGAAAATCCTCACAACCCAGAAAAGCTCAGTCAGTCTTTCATAGCGTCCAGTCCTGTGTATTAATATGGCAGTAGAGCCCTGGTTATTGTATATGGCTTGTAAATGAATAAAATTAAATGTACTTGAGGAAGGAAGCAGTGCCTAGGAGTTGCATGCTGAAGTTGCCATTGCTTCTGGTTCGAGTGGGATTCTTCCAGTGCACTTTTGGTTGTGAATTCACTTCCCTCTGACCAGGACAACACTGATGTAATTTTTAATGTTGCATTTGTTCATGTAACTGCATATTGCTAATTGAACATTACTATTCGGCTATATAATTGCTTTGGACTGAACTTCCATGTCCGTAGCCCAGGGCCATTTTGCTCAGTGTTAGTGATGACTTGCTGTTCAGAGAGTCTGAATAAGTAAAACTCAGTTTGCGGAACGAGGTCTCCACACCGCTGTCACACGTGCTTTCGTTGTCTTGAAATTTGCTGTTATAAAGCTCACCTTAGGAAGAGAGAAAAAGGAAATATGTTACTCTTTGTGTGGCTTGAGTAATGCTGCTTTCAGAAAAGTCTAAGGAATGCAAACCAACAGGGTCAAAGCTCTTCTATAGGAAAATGATTCTAATATGAGGTATTATTTTAGGAAAAGCTGTACTTTCAGGCCACCAAAGCATGTGATCTGACATATTGCTGGCAGAGATCAGCTTGCAGTTGGAGCTTGGATGGGATGAGAAGCCTGGTGCTCTGCTGACACTAATGTTGTCACTGCACATTGGTCAGGACTGCCCAGGTGTCAAAAGGTTCTCTGGTTCTCACATTCAGGCTCTGAGCAAATGTACAGCTCCAGGATGAGGCTCATGTTATTTTAACTTACATATTTCTTTTTGAGACAAATATTTGAACAATTTTCATCTAGTAAATGAACCTGAAATAGGAACAAGTCAGCAGCACCCATCACCTGTGCACTATTCACAAAAGGAGTGCCTGACTGCAAGGGATCAGTGTCCAAGCTGAAGGTATGATATGGGATCAGTGTGACTATAACAGTGGTTGGCATATTAGAGTTCAATCTTATTTTTCTAAACAAACACCTTAAAATAAACAATGTGATGCAGTCCATTCCTGTTGTAAAGGAGCAGAACCCCTCTTACCCTTCAAGATTAATCTAAAGGCGTAATATGTGTACAAGCACATTTTTGGGTAGGTGTGAAGGTTCTTTCCATGACTGAACAAACTGTTCCATAGAGAGTAAACTGGCAACATTAGATTAGAATGGAGTGACTGTGGTTTTCCTTTTTTTCCTTTCCAGAAATATCTACAGTATTTTCACGTACAGGCAGCATTACTGGTGTTTTAACAGTAAAAAACAAAGGGTTTTTTTACTTAAAATGGCCAGGCAATGACTGAACATCCCTGATGACTTTCTGACTTCTCACAACCTCTGTTTTTTGTGTTAGTAGAGTCCCTTGCCCAGAAACACTGTAGGACTTCCATCATTGAAGATGCTCAGAACTCAACTGGACATGACATGGACAAACCCATGTAATATTTATACTGGCCCTGCTCTGAGCAGGTAGTTGACAGCAGGACTGCTTGTGGTCCTGTGTAATCTCTGCCTACAGAATACTGGGACATTTTGGAGTGCTACACACTGTAGAAAGAGATATTTAATACCAAAGTCTTATTGAGAAGTTTATGTGCCCAAAACATTTTTGTGTATCCGTATATGAGGGGGGAGAAAAAAGTCAAAAGCTAATGGCACTTGTACATGCCTGGGAAATAATTGCCTAGTTTATCTTTTGAAACTTATTCTCAGTACATTCATGGCATTACCATCAGCAAATAGTAAGTGTCTGGTTTTAGAAAAGGGAGGCAGTATATTCAATACTGTGATGCAGGCATGCTGATTCAAATGGTCCATTTTTCCTCTCTCTTCTAGGCCTAGCAAATATCTATGACAAGAAAGTCACGCTGCAGTAAAATATTTCTGAAGCAGGTAGGCACCTGAGGCATTGTGTGTAAGGAAATATAAAATCTATCATCAGTCCAAGGTGGGGTGGGGAGGGAGAATTAAGAAAAACATCTTAAATGAAGCTCTTCATATTTTGTTGTCAATTTTACCTGTCTCTCCACTTGCAAAGGTGAGTGGTGATGACGACGGAAGAGCTTTTGCTGTACTCTTCTCCAGGTGAGATGGGCTGTGTGAGATGGATAATGCTTCCTGAATGACTTCAATGGCTTCTGTGTGATTCATCTGCCTCAAAGCAGCAATCAGCTCCTGAACTGTACCACCAGAGACCTAAGAGAGAAGACACCAGATGCTCACCATCATCCAGGCTGGCTAGAACTGAAGGGCTCCTCACTGTCCAGGAGGACAGTGTTCTCTACACGTGTGAATGTTCTTTATAACTTGTTACAGCCACGTTACCTCATAGTTATCTAGCAGAGTTTTCGATGGAGAAGGGCTCAACCTGAAGGCATTATTAAGTATGCCAAGACCCAGTTTTTGTGCTAGAGTGGACCAGTTTCTGGTAGGATCAGGCAATTCCAATAGTTTGTAAAGCTGCATCTTGGAACTTTCATTCAGCTCTCTCAAGTTTCCTGGGGAACAGAGAAATATGTTAGTTTATTATTTACACAAATCATGCACCAGTTCATTTCTAAGCAGAAACAAAACTAAACTGAAGAGTATATTAGTGTCCAGTCCCAGTGTTTATAAATGTATTGCTGTAATATTGAAAATGTACTCCTTTGTGTCCTTATGACTTCTTAAGGGAATTGTGCTCATTCTGTGAGCAAGTGGTTGGGAGGGTACCTCTCCTCCCTCACCAGTTCAGTTACAAGCTATAGCAGGGCAATGTCTTCTGCCACTATGGTTTGAGAATTCAGTTACTAGAGGGATTTTGTCAAGTCTTTATAGATGTTACCTCGTGTCAGCAACTCCTCCGAAACTTCTGTTGACTGGTAGGGTTTCCCATTTAATATGTCATACACCTAAGAGAATATATTAAATTCAGTATTTAGCAGAAACCTTGTTAGTATCCATTATCTTGACAAGTCTCAGCAGTATTGTACCTAATTCCATCTGTAAATCAGCATTTTTTCCTCTCTGAGGTTCAGTAGTCTGTTAAGTGGAGCTTTCTTCCAATGTTATTTCATTGGGGGAGTTTTGTGGCTGAATTAGTTTAATTTTTGATGGCAAATTAGTCACTTGTCACCACTGAAATAACTGTGGATGCAGTGAAAGGAGCTAGCTAAGAGATCTGAACTGTCCTTGATGATTAGAAATAAAAACAGAAAAAAACTCAACAAACAGAAAAAACAGACCACATACCTCACAGTTGGCTGCCATATCCAGCGGTGTTGTTCCAGGCACAATCCCTTCATCATCATCTTCAGCATCTTTCACATCATCTAGATCAAACAATGGCTCAAAGTTCTCAATGTGAGGATTTGCACCTGGAAAACAAGTGTGCAAAAAAAAAGTAAGAAAAAAGGCTTCGAGTTGGTTTTCAACAATATTTAAAATATGCATTCTAATTTCTGAATGGCAAAACAGCTAATTTATTTACTCCAGCTAAATGATATTTTATATTAAGCCAGCAAATAACTCTTTTTAAAATTACATTTAAATGCTGTCACATCTCTGTGTAGTGCTACTCTCCAATATAAAGAGGGGGAAAAAATGTTCCAATAAATATTCAGATCTAATTCTTCTAAAGTGACCTAAAATAGGAGACAGTAACAAGCTCATGTTTCAGTGATGGGGTTATTTTTGTTTCTAAAGCAGTCCAGCACTTATCCCAGCTATAACAAGGTCTCTTTTCCACTT